CTTTTCTTGTTTCGTTGCGATCGGTGAGTCCGTTATTTGTAATAGAGCACTTTGCGATTGAGTGTTGTAAAACCAAAACCAAGGTATTCACAACGGTCAAAGAGAAGAAAGTAAAATACCTGGAAGCGCCATGGCCATCGAGAGCTCAAAGTAAAAACAAGCCAACTGCCTAAAGCGCGGGAAAATGCGGGCGACCAAGTCATGATTGGTTCTAGTTTTATATCTGATTGGTTGAGAGAATGGTATGCGTTTTCTAAACCAATCACAAACTGCCTAAATCGCGGAAAATCGCAGGTGACCAAGTTATGATTGGTTCTAGTTTTGCATCTGATTGGTTGAAAGAGTGGTACGCGTTTTCTGGACCAATCACAGAGCGAAGTAAAGAAGAACCAATGTAATCCCAAATTACTTGCGACGCTCAGTTGCTCAGAGCGAAGCAAAGTTGATTAATGAAAACGGGTATCTTTGGAAATCAAAACTGTGACTTTCGAACGTAGCCTTAGACAAGTCCATTCATCCCACTTTCCCTAAATATTTTACAGTTGGCTAAGATGTACCTAGCACCATCTGAAACAGTACTTGATCACATTTTCAACATCTTGCAACTTATCAGACACATTTTGCAGCGGTTCGTCTTTTCAACTTTACTCAGTATTTGTGAATGTGATGAAATCTCTTCTCTTGTATTTGTTTTATGATGCAATAGCTGACGCATCAATTGTAAGTGGATTAGCCCTGGCCAACGCAAAAACGTATAGTCTGATTGATACTTAACGGAACTCTTTGATTTTAAAGGTTCAAGAGCAATGCCAAAAGCAGTCGAAAAAGATTGTTGAGAAGCTCCAAAAACTCATCACCTCGCCAAGTCCAGCTCTGACACCATCAGCGTCAGCTGCGGATGCCCAGAATGGTTATGCTGATCCAGATATCGACAGTGTCACCATAAACCAACTTGGAAATGAGTATGTATCGGGAGGAAATTTTACAAGGGTCTACTTCTGCTGAGAGCTCAGTATGAAATATTAAATGACCCTTGCAGTGGTATTCACCGAAGTGGAGGTGGCTTGTGGTGGGTAAATATCCGCCGCTAGCCACTGACACCGAGGTAAATAACTGTTCTATTATATACTAAAACAGTGTGATAATATATGTGGCACAAAAACACAATTTTTAACTCATTTGTTCCTCCAACGAGTACATTGTTTTCGGGCAAAGCTCCGCGCACGCTACTTACAGGTGAATAGCAAGGGATATTATTAGTTTTAGTCGCCAATCGGAGCACGCCTTCAACACTATGCACTGTTTTAGCATATACATAAAGATAATAGACCGATTGCAGGCTATAAGGAAAAATCTAAAAAAAAAGCCTGAAAAAAAAAAA